TTTATTTTTTGTAATCAATTCTCAGTGTCTTCTTTCATCTGACCTAGAAGGATAAAGTATGATTGACTTTAAATTCATAGCTCGGAAGAGCGGTATATTTCTTGCCTTTCTGCAGGAACTGTCTTCAGGTAATTAATATAATGTTAGTGGGGTCTTTAGTATCTTTCTTTTTGCCTTGCGCCACAATCAACATTTTCTGTAGTTATATAATCTACTGTATTGTTTGAAATCTATTCTTTTTTCTTCTTCTTAGGTTGAAGTGTTTTCAATTTAAAATTAAATTAAAAATAAAACTTTTTTATATGATAGGCAACTAGTACTGAATGTTCTAGCAATGGAACTCTTTCTTGTCAAACACGTTGTAGTTTTAGTGACTAATAATATTACGTGTTAATAGGCAGACCGTAACCAAATTCTGTTAATTTTGTCAGTAAATTCTAAATCCCGGGAAGTTATATACTGAGAATTACTGAAATAGCTAAGCTTAATCTCGACAAGCTAAACTTCCATAAAGTCTGTGTCGTTTACATCACCTGTCATCCGCAGCTTTGTCAATGTTTGATCTTGGCACAAGGAGGGGGAACTGCCGTGCGACCAAAGCCGTCTGTCTGCATAGCTGGTGTTTGATGCTGTAACTTGTTGCCTCTCAAAAATAAATAACCTTGAGTAGACAAATATTCTGAATCTCAATTGTGTTTTGACGCGTCTTTTTGAAATTAATGCATCCAAGAGGTTCCCCAACGAGGAGTCATCTACAATTCACTCTAATCCATTTTCCCAAGTACTGTATGTTAGAATGGTTGTTTACAATAGTTACCACAGACCAACAAAAAGCCATTAAAGATATTTGTCCTATTATGAGTGACGCTTCTCTTTCCCAGGCGGCTGTGTAATTATGTCAGCAAGTTTCCTTCTTACACTTGTACCGTTTGCTCTCATTCAGGTTTGATCTTTCCAGCTCACACATTGGCTCACTAACTGTGCTTTACATGTTCGCTCCATATCGCTCTGAATCACCCTATGCATCTTAACACACTTCTAGAGTTCTTTGTTTTGGGGTTATTTAGAAAGTAAACATGAGGGTAAAGAACTGTAATGTGATTAATGACAAAGATCTTTTCGAAAATACAAGTCGAAACAATTGTCTCCATCTCGAGGGTAGAACGAGAGATCATTGGTCATTCATGGTGTCACTTCTTTTCACGCCTGTGGTAACATCTGGCCTTGTGAAGCGTAGCAGGATGTTTGTGTATTATCTTCATGATGCATTAAGTCATCACATCCTCCACCTTGGTTATCATCTTCAATAACTAATCATCCCAGAACATATCTTATTCCACTTAGATTTACTCACACACTGTTGATAGATTTCCCATTTATAAGCAGTATTACATGGTGTGTTCTATTGATTGTCGTGATGAAGACACTGTATCATGTTGGATTGTTCCTACCTCCCTTGTTGTGGTGTACACACTTGCATCACATACGGTTACAGTTGACGCAGGGATATATCCAGCAGGGATATATCCAGAACTATATAGTACTAGGTAATCATGGTGTACGATCACTCTTCCTTCTTAATTTCGTTTAGATAGTCCAATAATACAATAGGGGGTATTAAGTCTTCTTTTTCACAAATTAAAATCAATGTAGGATTACTCAGAACCAAATCTCTACCTTACTTGATTTTAGTTTTGTTATACCTCTGGCGTTTTATATTTTACCATGGACCAGCTTGTCGCCCTTTTGGTATATTGGTATATTTTTGTTAAACTTATTGGAAGCCATGGCACCATTACAGTACCCTGTCTTACTTCACACTCACCACTCCTTCATGTGGGTCTCTCCCCTATGCACACAATATTAACAAATAATTGGACATTGGAGCCCTGGGAAAGGCTTTGCGTAAAACGATTATTCCTTTGGAGGTTCAAGATCAGTGTCACAGTTAAGTGGGCCCTCCTATTCCTGTTACCTTTGGAATATCAAAATACCCACTGAACATCGTAGGCTACTGGGTCATAGCAGTCACAGTACTGAACTGGTGACGCTGAGGACGGTTCGAGTTTCTGTAACTTGTAGAACTGTGTTACCTGCCATCAAGTCGTAAAAACCATAATTGACTTACATACAGGTATATCCAGGAGAATAAGGAAGGGGAGATACTGTAGATAATTTTTTCCATAACACACACACACACACACACACACACACACACACACACACACACACACACACACACACACACACACATCTTTAGCTTTCCTAATCACACCCTACGTATAAGCATTAACTTACCATTGACATGACCTTTTTATAGGGCTTTTTTTTTTCCTGGTCGTTTCCCTATCACCAGGATCTTACTTTTTCTTTGTAAATTACTCTCTACTCTTTAAGCCTTCACACAGCCGTCGTCTCTCCTCCATGGATCCATTCGGCGGTGGTCCTCCCCTGCCTCTCACCCTCGTAGCTTTCCAGTATCTCTAGTCTCCACCCTCTTAAACCTCTTATCTATTCACTCACCCCAATTACCGTCCCTCTCGCCTCCCCTCGCGCCCTCCATTAATCCATCGTTACACCTTCACTCTGGGAGGGCAAATGGCGTGCTGCTGCATTTTCCCGGGGTGTAGTTTTATCCTCTCTCGGTACCAATTTATCCTGGCTATATAGTGACACATGGTAGGTCAGTGAGAGGGTTTCAACGGCATTTTGTTCTAATTGTATACCGGGTCATGACAAGTCAGTGAAAGGGCTTCAAAACCACTTTCTGTGGTGGTATACCAAGTTATGGTTAGTTTTGAGGGTTTCAGCATAACACCTTTTCCTGGGAGTTAAATAATCATGTAACGAAAGGTGGCTTTGGTGCCCAAGTTTTCACTGTGAGTATGTGAATCACATCTTGCATTGTGGGTGTAGCACTAACACGTTACACTGTGGGTGTAGCACTAACACGTTACACTGTGGGTGTAGCACTAACACGTTACACTGTGGGTGTAGCACTAACACGTTACACTGTGGGTGTGGTTCGACTGATGTACTTGGATCATGACCATCCTGCTACTACTACCACTTAGGTTATCAAGGGCGTCAGTGATGGATGTTGCTTATCCTCTAATTAAAAATAGTATTTTCACTTGAATTAAACATAATAGTTTTTGATGTAATGCAATAACCTAAAATCATATAGTTTAGCAAATACAGCCTTTACATATTTGTGTTGGTAGCTATATTCAACCTTGGTATAAAAGAGTACTGTACAGCATAAAATGAAAAGTAAGATCCCATCTGAACACAGCAGACGGTGGTAAGAGGGACAAGAGCGGTGTTTGTCTTCATGTCAGTATCTGCATTAATGTATTACAATCTCTGCAACGCTTTGGAATTAACTAGGAGCAATACAATCAACTCAATTGTAAATAATTTAATCGGTGTGAACTCTTGGCACTTTGTTCGTGTTCTTCTTAAACACATCTTTCGAATTTATAAATGTTTCCAGTATATTAGTGGTGTTTTTTGGGTAACCAAAACTGAAACTAGGAAAAAAAACACCCGCCAACCTTGGATTCTAAAACATTTTTTGTTTTGTAATTAAGTGGCACAAATACCTCTAAAGCTTTACTCATATTTTTTAAGACTTACCTTCAAAGGCATCGTGATCACAGCACTGTCGGTCCCCAGGAATGAAAGGGATGCCATCCTTTACATTTTCCATCAGCCACCTTAGATTGCTGGATCCCCCCAGCACCTGATTTTGTTTTCCAAGTTTTTTGGGGGTTTATTCTATTATTTTTTCTTCGTCCTGTACTATAAAATGACAGTCGTATTTCACTCCTCAGTTCATATTTGGTTGTACCCGAATCTATCAAAAACCCTCTCACCTGCATGTGACACACACATTTCACGCTTAACACATACGCACACACCTAAGCAACCATTTCACACGAAACACGCATATAAATTTCAAGTTGAAATCTTCCTTTGATGTATCAATATATTCGTTAATAAGGTGCGTGTTCCTTCACAATAATTTCTGATTCACTTCTGAAACATGGTAATGAATTTAAAGTATATTGTGAGAGTAATTTATTTACCACAGTGGCACAGAATCCACATAGGTGTAACAGAGCCTCTTAGTTAGGTTGTATTCATCCTATATAGTATCAGAACATCTCAAACGTCAGTCGAGATTGGATACGGGATAGTGCACGGGGAGCGCCTTCACGGGGAGCGGTCAGGGGCTTCTCCAGCGTAAAGAGACTTAGGCAAGTGATGGAGATTAATTTCACCGTTGCGGGAAGTTAACGATAGAGTGAATAGAGATTAGGACTTAGATCACCCAAGTTGTGATCATAAAAGTGGGTGGTTACTTGAATATGAAGCTTGCTAATGGTAGTGGTGGCAGTGGTAATAGAGAAGATAGTGAAGGTGACGGAGCTGAAGGGAATGGTGATGGTGGGACTGGTGATCGTGTTCATGAGGATGGTGTTGGTGAGAATGGTGGTGGTGTTGATGGGAATGGCGATGGTGTTGATGAGAATGGTGATGGTGTTGATGAGAATAGTAATGGTGATGGTGTTGATGTTAATGGTAATGGTGATGGTGTTGATGATAATGGTGTATGGTGATGATAATGGTGATGGTGTTGATGAGAATAGTAATGGTGATGGTGTTGATGATAATGGTAATGGCGATGATAATGGTGATGGTGTTGATGATAATGGTGTATGGTGTCGAGAATGGTGATGGTACCAGCTGTGGTTAAGACACTATAGTATGTATTACCTTACTACACCATACACTAAACAGTGACTCTTAAGTTGTTGCATCATTACATAAAATTACATATTATAGTTATTATCATTTACCAGTTAAAATATCCAGTCAGTAAACTTCATTAAATCCAGTCATAGATGAAGGGAGCTTATCACCATTACATCACTACCGTCCTCACCATCACCTTAACAACACAATCACCATTAGGGAGGTTTAAAAAAAAAACATTAAGTTCGTAAGTCATTTAATCGTAAAAAATTTATCACATATACATGATTTCTATATAATTTTAAGTACAATCACGTGAAGAATAATATTTTTTTCCTGTTTACCTGGTGGCTGAGAGTGGAGGGTAGGTGTTCCATCACCCTGGGGGAGCACGGAACACCTCACTCCACCCTCTGGCCGCTCTACGTGAGTGTTGCTGATTGTTCAATAACAACAAAGTGAGTGACTAGCATAACACAATGCCCTTCGCCTGTGTGATATACTCCATACAAAATACATCACCATAGAAAAAAAAATCGTATCCCATGAAATTATTAAACCAGTTTAACTACGGTGTTGTCAGGTGACCCCGGAAGGTCTCAAGTGTCTCGGCTGCTGGGGAGTTTATATTCATGTTAAATAGTTTCTATACAAAAAGGGACTCCATTCTATAATGTCATGATATATATATATATATATATATATATATATATATATATATATATATATATATATATATATATATATATATATATATATATATATATATATATATATGGAAAGCGATGAATCTTGATAACTATTATGAATCTTTGCTTCAGCTTCATAAGAGTGATAATCGGTTACCGCTTCTTATTTGATTATTGATTTAGTTATATGCAGCAGCGTCCTCACTAAGTACCGTACAGTACACAGCTCGCACACGCTAGCTGGCTAGTGAGGCAACTTAACGCCAGTATCATTTTATCATGAAGAAAACGGAAACCAAATGTAGACTGCTGTGCTTGAGTTTTTTTTTTCAGGTAAAGAAAAAGCTGTAGAATTTGACAAATTTTAGAATCTGATCGTGAATGAGATATTGAGGACTTTGGTCACCGGGATAGATATTAAAACACATGTTTAAATTCTGTAATCTCGTCTGTTGTAGGTGACGAAACATTTTTTTTTTTTACAAATATATACTTCCATTAAAGAAGGAAAATATAAGGAGATACAGAGCAGGGACAAGAGAAAAACAAATAGGAGGAGGAGGAGGAAAAGATGAAGAAAGACGAGAGTGAAGGTAATGGCTGAGTGAGTGAGGGAAAGACAGACAAACGGGCACACAGACCTAGAGAGAATAATAAAAAAAGAGAAGGGCTCTAGTAAGATAAAACAAAAACGTGGAAACAGAGGGATGAAGAGGATACATGATATGTGCATTATCACTGGTAATGATGGTCACTCTACCACCTGGTCCAGGCTGGGGGTTCTCTTCACTAAGATTGTCTCAAACTTGCTGCCAAAAAAATTATCATATCAAATTACGCAGTTTATCATTTATTCTCAGACAAGTTCATTTTCACTAATGTCTTTCAAAATAAAAATCAACCAGTCATTGGTACTCATGATCATCAGGGTCGTATGCCTCACCTTCACTCTTATTGCTACAGAGTTTAAGTTTTGCCTCTGTAGTCTTCATGCTAATGTGACTATCACTTAAGTCTGTTTCTTTATCAGTGACATCGATAGCATTCTCACTTTCACCCTTGTCGTTCTCTTTCCTGCCATTACCCCAATCAGTGTTATCATCACCACTATCTTCAGACAAGTTCGTCGGAAACACATAATATTTTCACCATTCTTACCTACCCTGGTTCAACATCACATGCGCCTCCCTGTCATTTTCCTCTCATCAAGACTATTTGTCTTGACTCCATCACTGTCAGCGGGAGTAGTTTACAATGACTGATTGTTAGAGAGCATCACAGCTGTGTCAAGATAAAACAATTTGTAATTTTTTGGGTACTCGAGACGTCACTTTTTTGACTGTCACACATTTACTCCCCGCAACACACTTGTGCAAGATACAGATTACATTATCAGTTTTTTCATTTTTGTAGATGTTTCCGTTATTACTAAAATTGTTTCTCGTACACATTTTTTTCCAATTTCTTTTCTGATACCAAGAGGATTGTCATAAAATCATGTTGCCATAACATTATACCTTCAAAGATATAACAAAGGTAAAACTGAGCATGTCCCCCAACTATTCCTGAATATATATATATATATGTATATATATATATATATATATATATATATATATATATATATATATATATATATATATATATATATATATATATATATATATATATATATATATATATATCAGTGTATCTGTATATGTTAGTATCTTTGTTTCACATACTGTGTATCCGTTGCAGATTCTGACATTAACTCAAGACCTGAACTATATCCTGTATCACAATGGTATGTATATTTTGTAAAACCCTTTAAATTACTAAGTTCTAAAATGATATACATTGGTTTATATGAGTAACAGGTAATATTGATCAGAGGGCGCTACTGACTATGTGTGTATGTGTGTGAGTATATATGTGTGTTTACATAGTGGGAGAACAATGCAACACCTTGTCTACAGGGTGAGTGTGTTTGTGTGTGTGTGTGTGTGTGTACGCGTACTGTGCAGTGTATATACACACAACGTTCACTTGCTCTGCTTGGCTGCGTACCGCCGCAGTCAAAGCTTCGCTTCCTCTATAATGAATCCAACTTTTTTCTTTACCTTTACAGAATATTATTATAAAACTGAATTTTAAAGAAAGATACAAAAAAGAAACATTACTCAGGAGTAGAGGTGACCTCCTTTACTTGCAGGTGCGTCACACCAGGTGAGGACCCCCACACACCGTGTCATTCTGGCCTCCACCTCCACCACGCCTTCCGCTCTACTCCACCTGCTTCCCTCCCACCCGGTGAGTGTATGCGTGTTAGTGCATTCATGAAATTTTGTGTGCGCACGTGTGTGTGTGTGTGTGTATTTGTTTGTGTGAAATAGAGTGTATGCATGTTAGGTTGGTGGGTGAAGGGAGGAGTGTAGTGAGCCATGGGTTGGGGGAGCTGAGGGTGAGTCAGTTGGCACGAAATAGCACCCAACAGTCAGCACCCCCCTTAGTGAGTGTCGGTGGGTGTGAGAGGAGACTGAGGAGGTGGAGACCGGTGTCTAGTAAATGCGCGCGCGCGTGTGTGTGTGTGTTTGTGTGTGTGTGGTAAATTGACTTTTGTTTTCGGTTGTCCTTGGTCAAGTGCAAAGGGGGATAGATAGACGCTGGTGGAGCAGCGGTACAACAGAGGTGGTGCATTATAGTGCACGAGCTAAAGGTGGGGTTCAGGACAGTTACAGCTCGTGGTACAGCGGCTCGTTCTCCCTGGTGTTGGTAGTGTCGTATCGCCGCTGGCGCTTTCTAGCGGCGGGGTCGAGGGTGCGTGTAGTGGCAGGGTGCGGCGCTACCTCCGCCCCCCTTCGTCGTTCCGTGGTGAAGTAGATGCGGTAGCGATCGCTGCGGGAGGGCAGAGGGGGCAGCCCTCTTTCTGTCGGGGAGGGTCGCTCGCCTCCACACGTTGACGTTCCAGAGGAGCCCTCTATGGAGTCTCCTCCAAACTGGAGGCCTGGAGGCCCGCGCCCTGGGCCGTCAGGAGTGCTAGGACTACGGGTGATGGGGGGCGGCACCCCCACGTAATAACGTGGCTCGCGAGGGGCAAGGCAGCGGTCAACAGGAAGGTCAGAAGATGAGGAAGTGGAGGTGCGACCGTCGCTGGTTCCCTGGATAGTATAGGGGAGGGCGGGGTGACGGGTGGTGCCTTTCATGGCCAGAGCAGGAACCAGCTGGGGCAGAAGGGCTTCGTGGTACTCGCTGCCCTCCGTAGTGCCGGTGCTGGTGGCGCTGCTGGTCGCCCGCGGCTTTCGGGTCCGTCCTCCCCGCACTCCTCTCCGCCCCTGTGGGGCCCGGCGCCCCGAACACGTGCAGCTGCCGGGCTCGGACCATATCCCGGGGGGCCCTGGCCCCTCCCCGATCCTCTCTCGGGGCTGTGGAGCGCCAGTGCCCTCTGAGCTGACGCTGGCACTGCTGACGGAAGTGGTGTCACTACCTGAGGGCGACACACTCAACCCGTCAACCGCAGCTTGAGAATAAAATAAGCATACAATAAGCAGATGCCAGAAAACCGGCCATGCAACACAGTAATGCTTTTATCTACTTTATTAATACACACGCGTGAGAAAAATAGTGGATTACAAAGTCTAAAAACAAAAATAAAAACTTGCGAAACAGCCAAGACCTTTGGGGCATGAATGGCATAAGATGAGAGTCTCACCTGTAGAGATTTCCTCGTAAGTCGGGTTGTAAATCTCTTGAGAACTTCTACTGGAGCGGTGGGCGTCGTAAGTCTGCTTAGGTGAGTAAGGTGGGGAGGTGTGGCCGTGGGTGAAGGTGGGTGACAGTTGCTGAGGAGTTTGGTACTGCTGCAAGAGCGTTGGTGTCGTGGTTTCCGCCCCGCCGTACGATGTGTTGTGAACATGTGACGTTAGTTTCATATCCAACAGCTGCAAAAATTAAATTGTTAATAGAACATTGACTGAAATACAGACGATACTGAAGAAAAAGTTTGTATCGGGAAAACTTTATACTTAATCAGGAGTTTAGAACAATAGAGAATTTTGTTTTGAGGATGTTGATACATCTAAGTAAAGAAACAGGATGTTGAGGCTGGAGGATGAGACCCAGCTGTGTTAAGTCGCTCATACAGTACAGTATATGGCAGCTTTTGGCCTGTGTTGTGTGGTGGAGTCGTGGGGCATTTTAGTGATGTAGTACAATACGTTTAAGAAATAGGAACTACTTTCGTCCTGTCTGTAAGAATAATGTTCTTTATATATATATATATATATATATATATATATATATATATATATATATATATATATATATATATATATATATATATATATATATATATATATATATATATATATATATATATATATATAAAGAATTAGATAGCATTGATATTCTTACTCTTGCTCGGTCTTGGTGAGAAGTAGACAGATGTATCACTCCGTCGATCAGAGACTGGGGGAACTCAGGTTAATGATACTGTATTTCATAAGTTAGGGACAGGGGGGAGTTAATTTAACCTATTGCATTTTATAAGAAGCAAGAAATTTTAAATTTGATTAGATCTCACATCCCTATCCTAGCTACATACAGTGAGAAAGGACCGCCTCACTCATACTGTACACGAACAGCGATCTACCTTGTCTTCCACACACACACCCAGACCAAACCTTGAGTTCGGTTTTTAGGTAAAGCCTACTGGCAATTCATAGGACCAGCCCAATAACCAATTACAAGCGTTTTCTCCTAGGTGACCGTCATGTCCTGTGAATGGTCACCATAGCTTAGGGGCGGAGTTAGTGCCATGTCATTGGCACTCAAGTAACACAGCAGGATGTCTGTCTGGAGAAAGAACGTTTGGCCTGACTAATTGTGTAGCAATTATGTTCGACAGCGGCGCCAGCCGATGGGAATGTGGGCTTTGAGCTCTGGGTGGCTATGTGTGGGTGGAGGGCCTGTGGGTGGACCTTATGCTACAGTCCAATACCCAACTTGGCCTATTATAAATTAATCCACATATAAAATTACCATGCCAGCCTAAGCTAACCAGCCCAAAACACACATTAACTTACCCGAATTAAAGGTCCACCAAAACCCAACATAAAACAATAAACAAGCACATAGTCCCATAAGTGTTTTCTTGATATCCCCACAAGTTGTGATAAAGAGCTTACTATCTGTCGTCATCTGAGGTTATGTACGAAACATGACGTGAACCACAGGGTATGTGTCCGAAACGTCTGGCTATAACAATCAACATAAATTATTTTACACGGCTTGTAAAAAGGAAAATGCCTTTATATTACATTTCTTTTTATCAATTCAAGGAATAATATATCAAACGAAGGAAAATATCAAAGCATTTTCATAATATCAAGACATAAAACCAGGAAGTTCTATCTCGTCGCGGCAACTCTGGCAACGTGCATAATTGACGATGATTAGTGATAAACTGTTGATGCGGGCAGCTGACGGACGCACGCCTTAACCCCCACGCCACCAAGGTTCAGTCTCTGTCTCAGTGGCGGCGGAACAGGGGAGTGTGAGTCATAAAAAGGAGTGTGAGACATAGACATATAGAGAGTGCCAGTTTTGTGTCTGTTTTGACTAAGCCTTTAAAACTAGTGAGGTATCCTAGGCCTTGTGACGGTGATGTGTGCAGGGTTACTCTATTCGGGGCTCATGATAGATGCTCGCCCCTGGGAACCACCACTAATACAATAATGGTAAAGCGGTACGTAACACCAACATTCCTGGGACACAACAGCGATAACTGTCAATGTAAACAAACGTTCATACATCATAACAACAACAACAACAACAATATTTGATAGCCAATATAACAAGATTGATTATGTCACATCAGTAAGATCAACAACAATTATAGGCCGCAATAACAACATAACAATAATCATGTCACCACAACCACAAGTCAGAGATCACAACATTACCAGTATTTATGTGGCAATATACCAACAACAAGAATGTCACCAACACCACCATAACACCAGTTAAATCACCGCAACAAGGGCAGTTAGTTATATGTAACGATAACGGTAGCAAAGTTCCGTAACAGTATAAGACTCGTGACAACAATGGTGTCTTAAGATATATACCAACCGTATCTTGTGATATCATTACAGTATATAAGAAGTAGTTATGAAATAGTTACATTAAACACATTATCCACCAATAAGCATTTTGAGTGTTAATTTACGTAAGAGCAAACAGTTAATGGAGACCAAACAACCGGATAAACTTGAATTATTTGATAAGCTTCAATATTTCATTAAAAATCCAAACAGCCAATAGTGCCCCCAGAAAATGCCGACTGACTTCCACCGACAACACCTAAACTAACGAGCTCTGATCTTTACAGTTCATATAGCGATAATACTCACCCAGAAATATTACATAAGAATATCAGCCAAAGAAGCTTTACACTACCATAAATCTCACCCAGAATCAGGAAGCTCGACAAAAAGACAGCGACACGTGCCCAGGTTTCATATTACATTAGTGGTTCGGTGACAGTATTAAAATAAAAAATGTGTATATATATATAACTATTGCCTTAGTCTAGATATGAAGAGAAATGTATCTTAAAAACTTTGTTAGGGTTCGAACAAAATTAATTACCTCTGCAGGTAGTCCCAAACTTTCTCTCATTTCTCTAATGGCGAGAGTCAAAGGAAAGTTGACCTCATACGATGCAACGCAAAACTTAAATGTGAAGCGGCAACTCTTGGTTAAAGTTAGAATAAAATATCGGAACCAAGAACACGAGACTCCAATATTAAGACCAACATTTATAAGGGTCCAATATTGGGGCATGAATGTCGAATATTAGGGAATGAATGTCGAATATTAGGGCATGGATGTCGAATATTAGGACATGAATGTCGAATATTAGGGCATGAATGTCGAATATTAGGACATGAATGTCGAATATTAGGGAATGAGTGTCGAATATTAGGGAATGAGAGTCGACTGTTAAGGGAATGACGGTCGAATATTAGGGACTTGAGTGACAAATATTTGGGCCATGAGGGTCGAATATTAGGGGTATAAGGGTCAAATAGTGGGGCATGAGAGTCGAATACTTGAAGAAGTGAGATATTGGACCATGGGGATCGAATTTTAGGAATTGAAGTCGCGTTTCAGGACATGATGAGTCGAATACTTAGATTCCACAACTGAATATTAGATTTGATAATGATATAGGGTTGAATATTGGTGTTATGAGGATCGAATAGTGAGATGTGAGTCGAATACTGGGGATATAAGAGTCGAATATTGGGGCATGGTATTTGAATATTGGGTGTATTTGGGTCGAACACTGCGTCATGAGAGTCGAATTCTACGGCAATGATGTCGAATACTAGGACATGAGGTCGAACACTTGGTGATAATGATCGAATAATAAGGCATGAGGGTCGAATAATCCTCACCACCAGCCATCATAACACCTGAAGCAATCGACAACAATGCGACCTATTAAACTATATACTAAAATTCATCAATTTATAAAGCATTAAGAACAGGTTTAAAAATATCTTAAGTTCAAACACACTTCCAGGAAAGACCCTTTTTGTACAGACTGTGTCCAAGAAAAGTTTTTTAATCAGATTATATACAGCTTTGACGTCTCGGACCTGAAGATTTGTGTGTGTGTGTGTGTGTGTGTGTGTTTAAACAAAATAGTCTAAACAAAATGTTTGGATACAGCAACAAAGGGAATAATAAATTTTTTGCCAAATATGCAAAGTCACTTTGTGAAGTGTACCAGCATAAACACTAACAACAATTAGGAACACGCGTACTGAAAATCATTTGTCGACAGAGAAGTGTCGCACACGCGTTGGAAATCTAGACCACACCAGTCCACACCCAGGATAGAACTGACTCAAAGGCCGTGGGTTATGTTCGTTCGAGGGTCATTGAAGTAATGCTTGATCAGGTCGTTTGTGGTGTAGTAGGCAATGTAATAGTTAAGGCAGACTACGGGTGTGAGAAATAATAGTAACATCTAGTGTGCTAACCGTTGCAAAATGACTACAAACACTGAGGTGCTCCATAACACACACTGGGGCAAGCAGTGTCTGGCGTCTTGTACAGTGAAGAGAGCTGAGCCTCAGTATCTTAACAGCCAATACCTGTTTTGAGTGACCACGAGGCTCAAACATGTCAATATTGTTGTTACTGTTCACTCTGTATCATCGCGGTAAACTAAACGGTTTCAATTTTAACTTGAAGCAACATCATCGACCCAGTTAACATGTCACCAAGCGTGTATATGTGTGCTTATATAATAATAATAATAATAATAATAATAATAATAATAATAATTGTCATTATTTATGTTAACTTGGTAGTGTACCTATCACCACAGGATCTCAAATTACACAGTTACAATGGTCGAGACAATATTTACAATAATTACACCAAACACCATAAAAGTAGAGTCCAGTTTTGAATTAAAATTAAAAAAAAAACATGTGTATAATTTGCACGTATACGAATTTGCATTGAATATCTGACACCAGTGTGCTGTGCTCCGCGCGCGCGCGCGCGCGTGTGTGTGTGCGCGCGCGCGCGTATGTGTGTGTGTGTGTGTGACGTAATTATAAGTGATAAATCGAGTCGTTATGCTATTTCATAATCTCACCTATTAGACAGCAGCTATTGCCAGTTTCGGTTATCAAGTTTAATTACATAAAAAGAAGGAGTATAATTATAGAAGGTAATCGATGATATAACATAAATAGAATTTCTTATAATATATAAATCAAACAAAAACATTCTAGCTATTTATATACAAACACACCCTGATCAGCTATACACAAACACACCTTGATCATCTATACACAAACACACCCTGATCAGCTATATACAAGCACACCCTGATCAGCTATATACAAGCACACCCTGATCAGCTATATACAAGCACACCCTGATCAGCTATACACAAACACACCCTGATCAGCTATACACAAACACACCCTGATCAGCTATATACAAGCACACCCCTGATCATCTATACACAAGCACACCCTGATCATCTATATTAATAAGCACACCCTGATCAGCTATATATAAACACACCCTGATCAGCTATATACAAACACACCCTGATCATCTATACACAAACACACCCTGATCATCTATACACAAGCACACCCTGATCAGCTATACACAAACACACCCTGATCATCTATACACAAGCACACCCTGATCAGCTATATATAAACACACCCTGATCAGCTATATACAAACACACCCTGATCATCTATACACAAACACACCCTGATCATCTATACACAAGCACACCCTGATCAGCTATACACAAACACACCCTGATCATCTATACACAAGCACACCCTGATCAGCTATATATAAACACACCCTGATCAGCTATGTACAAACACACACTGGTTGACCCGAACCCTAAAAATAAAAATTAACGAACTACGTCAGCATAATCTTGTCAGAAGGTTCTCTCAATAGGCAGTCCGTCGGTCATTGAGTCAACAAATAATTAAGCGTTTTATTTCATAGACATGATTGACGAAGTTAAACAAAAAAAGACGGTTTGAATTGACTGACCTCCATGGGTGCGAGTGTGTGGGTGTCTCGGGTGTGGGCGTGACCGTGGGAGGCGGGCACAACCCTAGGAGTGGGTCCAGACGGCAGGTCCTCGTAGATAACGCCGTTGGTGAGATCGCTGGTCGACTTAGAGGGTCCCCGTCTACCTCGCTGTCTTCTGTATCTGGAGGAAGGGTGGAAGTGCTATACTCCCTAGCTATGAAAGGGGGGTGCTATACTCCCAAGCTATGTAAGGGGGAGTGCTATCTTCCCTGGCTATGTGAGGGGGAGTACTATACACCCTGACTATGTATGGGAGTGCTATACACCCTAGTTATGTAAGGGAAGTGCTATACACCCTGACTATGTAAGGGGGTGCTATACACCCTAGTTATGTAAGGGGAGTGCTATACACCCTGACTATGTATGGAGGATATACTCCATGACTGTGTATGTGTCTTGGTTGAGTAAGATGTGTTATATGAACAATGTGTGTGCAAAATATACGAATATTACCATGACTGTGTGCAGTGTGCCTGGAGGCTATGGTCACTAAGTGTACAGTATGATGCATGACCAACAAAGTGACTGTGTATAATGTTTGAAGAGCATCGAATTATTCTCCGAACAAAAATTGGATGTATGAAGAACGTGGTGACCGTGTATATGGCGAATTAAGAACATTGTGACTGTATATAAGGTATGCAGAACACTATGACCATCTATAATGTATGAAGAACGTGGTGACCGTGTATTATGTATGGATAGCATAGTGACTGTGTATGATGTATGGATAGCATAGTGACTGTGTATGATGTATAAATAACATTGACAGTGTGCGATATACAGTATAAGTAAGGACCGAACGGGAGAGGGACGACTCCTCCTTAATATCAGCAAAACAGTTGTATGTCTATGTTACCTTAAAGGGCTAATTTCCGTGCAATGAATATGAAAAACAATTAATATTCCTGTTTTAATCTAATTTTCAGTATGTAATTAATTGATTAAGGTATGGGAGATATGGTAGAGTATCTTAAAGAGGTAATTATTACTATGTACCATTAATGGTTGTCTAGTTTATTAATACATTACTTCACTGCATTTATCACCATTATGTAAATTAGTGTTACAGTGTACAAAATCACTCGTTTGTTCTATTTAAGTCTAACTTACTGCTTCAGGGTAAATATTACAGCTATCAAATTTACATATAATGTTTGGTGCTCGTCCTTTGCCATTCAGCGACTTTGAGTTTAATAAGACATTATTATTCATATTGTGTATCCATATTGACCAAAGGTTAACATAGCCAGCTGAATATTTCGATGTAGTACATGTGTGTTAGGTCTGATGACTCTTATATGTTATTCTTGAATTTAGCTGTAATGTAAACACTAAAGATGTTAGCAGTACGCTCATAAACAGTGTGCGTGTGTTTGTGTGTGTGTGTCACTACTATAACACATAAATGGCCGTGGCCGCCTGACCTCCAGCAGACAAGGGCAGCGATAATGAAGACGAGGGTGAGAGTAGCAGCGGCGACCACCAGTGCTGCCAGGGGAGGGTGGAGCCTCTGGTGAGTGTGGGCGCCCCCCGCCACCAGGAGGGCTGGGCACACTTCCGAGGGAGGCGGGGCATCACAGCCAGACCCCTCCTCCTCCTCCTCAGGGAACTTGGGGATTGGTGGAGGGGGCGGCAGGTTGAACATGGGAGGCGGTGGCCCACCACAGTCACACGTGTGCAGGCCATCGTCGTCTGTTGCACCTGTGTCCTCCCAGTGATTGTCCTCCAATGCAAAGTCTTCCCAAGGGTTGTCATCCAAGGGTGTGGCTTCGGGGTCGTCCTCCCAGGTGTGGCTGTCACTCCAGGGGCCCTCTGGGAAAGAGGGGAAGTCTGGTGGGCGGGGCGGAGGCCAGGCAGACTCCTCGGCGTCACGGCGGCGGCGGTTTTCCCACTCCATCCATGACCCGCCAGCGCCGGCCACCTGTCAGGCCATAGGTCAAGGATTTAGGTTAGGACACAACAGTTAAGGCATAATAAAAGCATTAAATAAAATATATGGGAAGGGTAACGGAGGAAGAGAGAAATAAGGGAAGCCTGTACTGATGGCAGTAAAATAGTAAAAGACATAGAAATGTTGTTGCAGTATATCCTGCAACATCTGTCTTTTTTTAACACCTAATAAATTATAAGTCTATTTTTACCATTGCATGAGGACCATTACTCGGTAGTTTTGGGTAAAGTGGGACAGACTGACCTCAATATGAAGGCAGGCTGAAGGGAAGCCTAAATTGGGTGATTTTTCTTAACTAGTGACTCCTATAAAATCAACAGAACAACAGACGATTCAAATCTTGCATTATTTAGTATTTTTTATCCCCCAAAATTGCTTAGAGAGAGAGAGGGATCAGGCAGTTGTTGACTGTCAAGGAAATGAGGCACCGCTTCCGCTCTGTCATGGGTGAAGATAATTATCTCTAGAGTGTGAAGTTAAAATAAAACTCCACCATGATTAAGAATGTCACCAATATTATATTTCTGTCACGGAAACAAATTACATTTACAGTACCAGTTCAGGATAAACCATGGAAATAGCCCAAATAAAGACTGCAGTGTCAGGATATATATATATATATATATATATATATATATATATATATATATATATATATATATATATATATATATATATATATATATATATATATATATATATATATATGTATATATATATATACCCCCTGTATATACAGTCCTTTACAAAATAAACAACTAAACATAGAGAAGATGTTAAAGGCTTCTTTGTCACAGTTACTCTTTCCAGTCTTATACACATTCACCCAGGAATTATAGCTATGAGAAATGAACGTGTTTGACATTTTACCTGTAATGCCTGAATAAACAGGTATGACTTGCTAAGAATAAGAGCAGACTGAGCTGTTGACCAAGAGGCGTGTGAACAGGAGGGGGTCAGGCTTCTGGCCTCCGAGTCCATTCAGTCCACCACGATAATGGCGGACCCAAAACCTTTAGAAATTGTTGAAGTTCGGACCTTCAGCCATTATAAAATCCAGGAACGGTGGAGTCTGCATTCACAAAATCCGGATGGATGTATAGTGTACAGAAGGCCAGTATTTCCAGACTCCTGAGTAAAACGTCGGTGCCACGTTTTCTACATATGGATATTTAAATTCGAGTTGGTCACGTTATTACAGGTGCTATAGCAAGGACCACCTGTATACAAGTATTACTAAATTATATATATATATATATATTGTGCACGATTATGGAATTTGTAATTTGTAGTCTGATTACATTACACCATCACAGAACCCAGGGATGGCGCAGCAAAGTTTAGATCGCGTAAAAATATGTACCAGGTCAATAAATATTTTTGGTAACAAACTGGGTCACTAACGACCAGAGTAAACCCTGCAACTGTCTATAAACATATACTTAGCCAAATGTTCTGCTGATCAAATATGGTAAGGCATATTTTACTCTCATGCGAGGGAGAAATATCAATATTCACAGACTAAACACACTCCCTTTCAAGTGTATTCATGCACTCGGCGATGCTTCACACACACACACACACACACACACACACACACACACACACACACACACACGGACCTGCATCAGCTTCAATCAGCATCGATAACTTCATAAATACTAAAACAAGTATAAGGTCGTCATTCTTACATCTGCCTGTAAGGAATTCGCCAGAAATTATGCATAAATATAGCCTAAAAAATCTATCATTTATCTTACACATAAGAATAGACAGGAATGCTACATACATATTTTCATACACAGGCAGGAGTCCGTCAAACATCATACATTCATACATACGGCTGTAGGCCAAGTGTCCATCATACACCTACAGACAGGCCAGAGTCCGTCACATACATACAGAGGCAGGTAACAGACTCACTCCACTCCGTTCCAGGCGTATTGATGGACACAGGCTACTATGACAGGTGATGGTGGTAGGTGGGTGGATGAGTGCGTCAAGCGGGTCAACTGTCACAGCCAGCAAAGCGTGGGCCACGCCCTCCACCATGCAGGGCGAACCCTCTCTCTTAATATTCTCACTGCACGCTACTTCCCTCACCTTTGTGGGTGAATAGTGTGAGTTAGAGTTGGCGGTGTTAGATAGATAGATAGATAGATATTCAGTAAAATCGTCATACGAGTTCATGTTGGTTTAGCATTGATATACAGACGCTAACAAGAATAAGTTCGATTCATCCAAGACTAGACCAAGAAAATGTTAAAAGTTTGTATCCCGTCGTGTGATGATGTGGAGTGGTATGGTGTAATGTCTCGTGACAGTGTGGGGTGGCATGGTGTAGTGTGGCGTGGCGTGGCGTGATGTGGCGTGAGAGGGGAGGGAGCATAACGTGGAATAGGGTGACGGGAGAGGGACTAGTGCGTGGAAAGGAAACGCTTGGTTAACACACACACACACACCGGCGAGCTTAAGGCGTCTGTCTTCATTCATGACACAATGTTCATTTCTTATTAATAAAGTCAAAATTTTCATCAAAGAATTAATTAAAAACTTTTGATCAATTTGATTACAGTTTACATATATCTAATTTACAAACACAACATAAGAGAATGACTGTAATCTTCCTAAGGCAACTTGTAATTGCATTAAGTATAATACAACGCCGGAAGGGAACTGGGATAACTAAGTGTTAAGGAGAAAAAAAATAAATGACCTAAGATCATGGTAATGACAATTGTCGTAAAGTCACTTGTTACAGCCACTTCCAGCGTTTGTGAACACCAGACCTGGAAATTGCTTGTGTCCCAGAGTAAATATGATGTATTGATTCAGTGCTGTGTGCTGGATACAAACACACACCTCCAAGCATATATACATATACAGTAGCAAAGGCAGACCTTCACAAGAACAACATGTGTTTGTGAAGGAATACAAGCATCCGCCCGTGCTTACAATACACATGTAAGTACGAGCAAATACGCGTAAAAATACATAAACAAATAAAGAAAGCATACACACAAACACTGGCAAGAGTCATAAACAACAAAGCCGAGTGTCTTGTTGGTAGAATTATCTAAATAACAACCAATCAGCACTGGACTAACTGGCTGCCTGGTAAGCTGCTGCGTTCCCGTTGTTGTCAACTCTACCTAGTGTACAGTATAGTTGGCTTGGTTTAACTACATGACACAATAGAACCAAATACAGTATAAGCATCAGCTGCCTCACCATATAACATATGTTTTGTTTCGTAGTATTTTGTTAATCTGTTGTTCATTACACCTCTTGGAATTTACATATAAATATCATGAAACTAAATATAGCACAAGCTCATTATGTCTTCGTCAAATACGTCATATCAAGGATCTCACTGACGTACCACACTGATAGAAAAAATAACATATTTGTTATCCGTAAATTATGCAAATTCTGTGCATAAATTTTCCGATAAAAAGTCACTGCATAAGAGGAGTGAGTCTTAACACAACGAGTCTATTTAAAGGCCAGTTACAATATTTCATGGTGTTCGCCAGTTATTATATCAACCAGTCATCAAAATCGATTAAAAAATAAAAGACATTCTCATTTAGCAGCCGCAGGATCGTGGTCCAACTTTAATACGTCAACAAGGTCTCTTTGTTTAGATGAACATTATATAAACTACCTGCATCACAGCTACGTGTTCGGTGGTTTATCGTAACGAGCAAACACACCGCGTAATACACAAACACTCACTAGATACACAAGTCCGAGAAATCATAATATACAGCAAACATGTTTTGTGGACTCTCATTTTCCGACTTTTTTCTGTAATCTGCCCCAGCTGCCACGCATATTGCAGACCTCTTATGGCTCGTCCCACTAAAATCGTATCATGGGTATGGCAGCTCCCAACATACCATCTAAGCTCCCATCCCTACCCCTCAAGGTTACTATCGTCTAAACTTGATCCAAGATTCCTCGATTCGCCTTCCCTCGTCCTAACTTGGAGATGGAGAGCTATTCTCTTCCGCTTTCTAAGTTAGCTTCATTCTACCATGATACAAGACACTTTGTTGCGACATAACTTCTTTTACGTAACATAAAGGAGCATTTGTCAGGAGGCTCGCCATTCAGAGCAGCCTTCCTCCTTACGCTGTTATTTGACAGTTTTCATTTAAATTATTACATGAAGACTTGAATTATTGGACCCATGAGTTCTCCACACGACCTTAGCCCCTCCACCGCTGAAATTGTTGAATTGCGATTCAAACTAAAACTCCCTTAACTGACTTAATCACCTATATACCACCGACTTAAAATATCCAGCACTTTAAGGCAAATTGCAACATGTATCCTCTTCAAATAGGGCTACATGTCTGTGTGTTTGTCTGTAAACTAATAGTGGATCTGGAGGATGGAGGGGCACAGGATGCATGTCTGTTTGTCTGTTTATAGACTAATAGTGGATATAGAAGATGGGATTAGGGGGGGGGGGCAGCAGGGTTAGACTTCAATTCCTTAAATTAGGGGCAACATTATTGATTATATAACGCAATGTATTTGGTATTTTGGGGATATTTCTATCTTTGTCCACCCGAGAAAATATTGGATATGCCACTCTGGTAGACAGATTTTATTGTGAACATGAGAATCCTCTCCTCCCTGCATTCCCATTTGCATTGAAATATTCAACTGTTCAGTTTGGAGACAGTTTACTAGTAGTAACAACTGAAGTACCATATCTCAACAACTTGGTAATGATTTTTTCTGACATTTTCAGGAATAAAGGTCTTGGTATTTGAAGAATGGATGTTGTTAAGTAATTAGTATATTTGGTATTATTTTAAATTTCTAATTGAGTTATATAAGAATTATTATTTGTTAGATTCAGAGTTATCAGGGATGAAAGTCATTGGTTCTTGAAATATGCTCGATGGAATAATAAAATTTATTCCTTAATGATATATTTTGTCATGGTGACGGTC